TATTATTTCATAATCATAGTATTCTGGCATCTCATTAATAAGATCACAAACATCTTGCCATTCATGCATTCATCAGGTGTTGACGCATGTTCCTTAGGCCTTGGAAATTTTTCTTTGCTAGACTCTTTTGCATAATCAATTCAATGTCATCGTTTAATATTCGTGGAAAAATACTTAATTGATACTCAGTAACCTTGATGCTGTTCAAAGACTTGCTGCCATATTAATAAAAGTCACAATGACTGAATAATGTTGCAGAATTAAAGTTAACAGTTAACACTGCTGTTTAGACTTATGTACGTAATTTAAAAAGTGATAGTAAAAACGGCAGTACAACTTCAAACATAGCTAGCTTCTGTATTAAAATCAAGCAGTGGTCCTTTAAGTATTGATGTGTCAATGAGTCAATAACTCACATTCCTTAACTGGCCATCTGAAATGGCTCTGTTCAAGGACAGGTGGGCATGGGCAACAAATGCTGCACTGCAGTAACATTCACATCCCAGGAAAGAATAAAGAAAAAGAAATCAAAATCTAATTTTTATCTACCAAGTGAATTGTTAAGTAGATTGGAGTAGTAATGTTGATGGAATTGTTAGTGGTCGCTTTCATTATTTCCCTGAAACTGACAGCAATTCTGGAAACTGCACATGCACAGCTTAATGTAAAAATCCAGAAGTTGATGTCAATGATTCTACACTTTACCAAAGCGTGTGTGTTTGACTTCCCAGACAACACTCAACCAGAAACCACTGAATTGACCAGATTTTGGCCTTTTAAGCTGTTTACCTTGCTATAAAAACCCTTGAAAAAGTCACACCTTGTTATTTGAGGAACAATTCAGTATTTAACTGTGACCATCTTCATAATCATTGCTGAACTGCCTGACTGATCAGAAAACCTACTTTCATCTTTGTGAAACATCACATTTCTTTATTATGATTTTAAAAATTCACGTATTATCACTTTTAAGATTTTTTAAATGATATTCCAGATTTTATCATACTCACAAAATGTATATTCCAATCTTTATATCATACCCCAGCTTTTAAAAAAAAAATTCATGAGATGTGGGCATCACTGGCTGGGCCAGTATTCATTGCCCACCCACAGTTGCCCTTTGGAGGTGGCGGTGAGCTGCTGTCTTGGAACGCTGTAGCCCATTGCTGTACCCTTAAAACTGTTAGAGAAGGATTTTCAGGACTTTGACTCAATATTTCCAATTCAGCATGGTGTACAGCTTATAAGAATATAACAGTTAGGAGTAGGAGTAGGCAATTCAGTCCCTCGAGCCTTCACCATCATTTAAAATGATCATGGCTGGTCTCATCTTGGTCTCTTTTCTGTCTGCTCTCCATAACCATTTGAGCCATTAAAATTAAAAGTATGTCTATCTCCTCAAACTTACTCACAGTCCCGGCATCCACTGTGCCCCGGGGTAGTGAAGTCCACAGAATCATGACTGAGAGTAATTTCACCTCATCTCTGCTATAAATCTGCTACCTCTTATCTTAAAACTACGGCCTCTTGGAGAAGAACTTGCTGCCCTTATCCTTCTAGATTGTAGGCGTTGTGGGTTTGGAAGGTGCTGAATAAGGAGTCTTGGAGAATTTCTGCACTGCATTTCGTAGATGGTACACATTTGTGATGCTGAGCGTCAATGGTGGAAGGAGTGAATGTTTGTTGATGGGGTGCCTAGCAAACAGGCTGCTTTGTCTTGACAGTTTCAAGCTTTTCAGCGTTGTTGAAGCTACAATCATCCAGGCAAATTGGGAGTATTCTATCATACTTCTGACTCACAGACAATCTTTAGCAACTCAGGTGGTGAGTTGCTGGCTGCCAGATTCATAGTCTGATCTGTCCTTATAGCTACTACATTTATATGGCTAATCCAATTCAGTTTCTGGTCACTTGTAACCCCAGGATGCTGATAGCATGGGATTCATTGATGGTAATGCCATTGAATGTCATGGGGTGATGGTCAGATTCTGTGATGTTGCAGACATTCATTACCTGGCACTAGAGTGGCATGAATATTAATTGCCACTTGTTAGGCCAAATCTGGATATTGTCCAGGCCTTGATGCATTTGGACATGGATTGCTTCAAAGTTTTGGCAAAGATCTGTAGCTCAGGTTGTGGATGAGGTTGTTGACTTGTTTGCCGAACTGGCTTGTTTTTGTTCAGACGTTTCATCACCATGCTAGGCGACATCATCAGTGGAGCCTCCAATGAAGCGATGTTATTCTACTCCGCTTGGAATTTACACTGTCCAGTCCGTTATGGTGAGTACTGTCATTTCTGGTTTTGATCTGTATGGGTTTTTATAAGGGGTCCAATTCTATATGTTTGTTGATTGAAGTATAGTGGAGAACCATGCCTCTAGGAATTCCCGTGTGTGTCTATGTTTGGCTCGGGCTACTATGGTTACCTTGTCCCAGTTAAATTGATGGCCTTCATTGTCTGAATGTACTGATATTAAGGAGAGTTCATTGTGCCATTTTGCTGCTAGCTGATGTTCCTGTATTCTGATGGCTAATTTCTTTCCTGTCTGTCCGATGTCATGTTTGTGGCAGTCGTTGCATGATATTTTGTAAACCACGTTGGTTCTGCATGTTGTGGGAATGGGGTCTTTAATCCTTGTAAGTGTTTGTCATAGAGTGGCTGTGGGCTTGTGGGCTACCACGATTCCTAGTGGTCTTAGGAGTCTTGTTGTCAGTTCTGATATGTTCCTGACGTAGGGCAGTGTGTTAGATCATACTGTGTCCTCCTGTTGTTGTCTGTTTTGTAAGCATCTGTGGATGAAGTTGCGGGGATATCCGTTTAAAGCGAGGATCTTGTATAACTGTTCTTCCTCTTTCCTGCATAGTTCTGGAGTGCTGCAAGGTGTCCTAATGCAGTTTGTTTGTGGACGTTGGGGTGGTTGCTTTGGAAGTTGAGGATTTGATCCTTATGGGTTGCTTTTCTGTATACTGAGGTTTGGAACTCCCTGTTTGTCAATTGCTCTGCTTTAGCATCCAGAAATGGAAGTTGATTGTTGTTTTCTTCTTCCCTTTTCAATTTAATCCCGGTGAATATGCTGTTGATGAGGTGGTGGGTCTCTTCTAATTTGTTGCATTTAATAATGACAAATATGTCGTCTACGTACCGGTTCCACAGTTTAGGTTGAATGTGGGGGAGGGTAGTGTGTTCCAGTCTTTGCATGACTGCTTCTGCGTTGAGTCCTGAGATGGGTGGCCCCATTGGTGTACCACTGATCTGTTTGTATATCTGACCATTAAAGACGAAGCATGTGGTGAGGCAGAGGTCTAGTAATTTAAGTATGTTGTCATTGCTGATGAAGCTGCTGGTCTGCGTTGCTGTTTCATCTAGTAATGTGGCCAGTGTTTCTTTAGCTAGTGGGATGTCGATTGATGTGAATAAAGCTGTGATGTCAAAGGATACCATAATCTCGTTGACGCTGATTTTTATGTTCTCGAGGACGTCAACGAAATCTTGGGTGGAGTGGATAGAATGGAGTGATCTGTCTACTAGGTGTTTCAATCTCTGTAGGTCTTTGGCCAATTTGTGCGATGGTGTGCCTGGTAGGGAAACAATGGGTCTGGAGAGGGATGTCTGGTTTATGTACTTTAGGCAGTCCATAGGAGCGGAGGGTGTTTGTGTCTTCCAGTTTCATTCTCATGAAGGCTGTCTTGGTTATCTGCCCTGCATTCATTAGTCACTTCAGTGTTTGGGTGATCCTATTTCCTAGCTGCAGTGTTGGGTCTATTGCCACCTGTTGGTAAGTGGTTGTATCTGTGAGCAATGCCTGTGTTTTCTTAACGTAGTCTGGTTTGTTCATAATGACGGTCATGCACCCTTTGCCTGCTGGTAGGATTATGATATCCTTGTCTTTCTTGAGTTAATCTAGTGCTTTTCTCTCTGCTGTGTTCAGGTTGTGCCCTTTGTTCCTTCTGTGCAGTGTGGGGATTATAGATGGTCGGATGGCTTGTTGTGTTTCGTCTGTGAGTTTGTTGTCTTTTAATATATTCTCCAGAGCAGCCATGAAGTCTGTTCTGTTCGCATCTTTGTGGTTATATTTCAGTCCGCGTGATAGGACAGCTTTCTTAGTTTATGTGAGTTGTCTGTTGGATAGGTTTCTTATCCATGTGTCTGGTTTGTTGTTGTCCTTGTCTTTGTGGTGGATCAGTTTGGCGAGTTGCTCCTGTAGCTCGTGTCTATTCTTAGTTTTGGTTTTGTGCTGATTGATGGCGATGGCCTGTTCTAGGGTTGTAGTCCATTGCTGGTCCGTAGAGTTTAGATACTGTGATTTTTCTCACGCAATTTCTCGGTCGTACCTGTGGAGTTGGTAATGGGCATCATTAATCACTGCTTGGTGAGCAAGTCAACAACTTCATGGATTGCTTCAACATCTCAGGAGTCGCAAATGGTGCTAAACATTGAACACTGCAGTCATCAGCGAACATCCCTACTTCTGACCTTGGACAGAACGTCATTGATGAAGCAGCTGAAGATAGCTGGACCAAGAACACTACACTGTGGACCTACTGCAGAGATGAGCTGAGATGATTGACCTTCAGCAACTGCAACCATCTTCCTTTCTATCAGGTTTGACTCTAACTTGTGTGGTGACATTAAAAATCAAAAGGTAATCAGAGATTCAGACTTCTTGGAAAATGTTTCAATATTGCTGGATGACATAATTATTGCTGGATGACATAATTATTGCTGGATGACTGATGCAAGTTTCAAACAGATGTTGGGAAGAGGAAAATCTTTGCCACTGAGATCAGTAGGTCTTTGTGTTCAACTTGCTTCAAGGTTAGCAGAAATTCTGTAATGTTGCTGCTGACTGCAAGGTACAGCTATGTTTATCAAAGTTAAGTAAGGGGTGTTGTGTTGTTTGTCTAATATAATTTTTAAACCATTTTTATACATTTTAAAATCACTGGTGAATATTACATTTGAAAATACAGATTAATATAAAACGTAATGGCTTACAGTTAATTGATTCATTCCTTTGTTCTGGATCTACTTCATCGTTTTCTGCATACTCTTTGGCAAAGTTAAACAGCAGATTGGCTTCTTTTGTGTCTTCATAATTCCAGGTAAAAACACAAAATTTAGCAATAATCCATTTTAGAACACTTTTAGATATTTAAAGTTAACAATCTTCTGGTCAATCCAGAAAAAAAGCAAGTAAATTGTAAATTAGTCAATGGATTATAATCCAGTCACAAAACAGAAAAAGAAAAACATGACCTGCTTATTCAATGATGATGCAATAGTGAATAAACTACATACAACTTGCTGATCATAACCATATAGAAAAAGATATCAGTATGACATCATCGCAGACTAAATGAACAAAACAGGAAAAGATTAAAAGATGTTTGGGCTAAAATGATTGAATCAAGAAATCTTTTTTATTATTGTATTACTTTCTATTTGTAGGATTATAGAACCACATTTGAAATACTGCCATTATAGATCGTTTATAAATGGTGTTAACAAATAAAATTGTTCAGATATGCAGTTTAGGTATCCTGGAATAACTAATGCTCCACCACTGAACTTCCTCCGGGATAAAGGTCAGTGTAATCATCAAAAAAACTGGTTTTAAACCCCTCCAGGATTTACATAAACAATTTAGGCTGGAATAAGAATTAAGAATAATGGGACTGCAACAGTGTTAGAGTTGCCACATTTTTCAGATAACAGAATATATTCCATAGTTAAAATCAGTGATATATTACATAACACTCTTTGAAGTGAAGCGGAGGGAGATCTCCTGACATGTTAGCCAACATTTCTTCCTAAAGTATTAGTAAAAAAAAGTAGATTATAACCAGAATGCAAGTGTGTAGTATATTCACTATAACTGGAATTTCAAGACAGCTGAACTCGATAAAGGAAGTGAACTGCCCTTGACGTCAAGGCAATATTTGGCAGAGTGTGGCATAAAGGAATCCTAGCAAATTGGGGTTAATGAGAATCGGGGAAAAGCTTTATTCTGTTTGAAGTCATACTTAGCACAAAGGAAGATGGTTGCAGTTATTGGATATCAATCATCTCACTACCAAGACATCACCGTATTGTCCTTGGTCCAACCACCTTTAACTGTTTCAGTGACCTCCCACCATCATAAGGTGAAGATATTTGCAGATAACTGTGCAATGTTCAGCACCATTCACAGCTATCAGATCCTGAAGTAGTCCAAGTACAGCTAGACCTGGGCTGATAAGTGGCTATCAAAGAAAAACTTGAAGGATGACCATGATATACTTGTTTACTGAGACATTCCACTGCTGTAACAAAGCAAACCTCTAACAGGTATTCACTAAAACAGTAAAACAGTTTGATTGGCATCCATCTAACACCCTGAAAATTCACTCCCACTACACTAAGACCCAATGGGAGCAGTGTGTACTATTTAAAAGATGCACTGTGATAACTAAGATTCTTTAGACAGCACTTTCCAAGCCCACAAACTCTACCATCTAGAAGGATAAGGACAGCTGAAACATGGGAAACATTAACACCTGTAAGTTCCTCTCTAAGTCACAAACCGCCCTGTCTTGGAACTATATCACTGTTTCTTCAGTGTTGCGGACACTGGGTCAAAATCCTGCAGTATCATCCCCAATAGCCCTGTGGGTGTACCTATGTCAAATGGAACAAGAAGACAGGTCACCACAACCTTCTCAAGGGCAATAAGGATGGGCAATTAACACTGGCCTAGCCAGTGATGCCCATACCCAACGAATGAATGAACAAAAATCTTGTTTATGGCATCTGTTCGTAATCTATTAGTATCTGGAATTAATGACTCCTTCATTACCATAGAAAGGTCCACTATACCAAAATATGTTACACTAGCAATGCAGAATATACTTTTTATGAGGTTAGGTTAAGAGCAGTGAGATTCCATTTAGATCTTGGCCATGCATTGCCTGATCTAACAGTGCTTAATGCTCGCAAGAGGCTTCAGTGTTCTTTTTAAAAGAACTGCATTTCACAAGAAGTTAAATTCATTCCATTTAAGTTGAGCTATCAAGGAAAAACCTGAAGGATTACCACAATATACTAGTCTACTAAGACATTCCACTGCTGTAACAAACCAAACCTCTAACATGTATTCAGTAAAACAGTACTGTTTGGGTAGGTGACCAAAAATTTTGTCGAACAAGTTTCAAGGAGCGCCTCAATGGTCGAAAGAGCGAGAGAGATGAGAGATTTAAGCAAAGAATTCCAGAGCTTAGAGCTTTGGTAGCTGAAGGCATGGCTGCCAATTGCTGGCTGATGCTCAAGATATTACGGAGAGTTGTAGGGCTGGAGGAGATTATAAACATAGGAAGGAATGGGATTTTAAAAACAAGGTTTTACTTCACCTTGACTCCAATGCTGGACAGCGAGCACAGGCTGATTAAATCAATACAAGTTAGGACTCATTAACCACGGTCATCTTAAGGGGTCTCGCCAAAGATATCAGCTGATCTGCAGTATGTTATCCATTTTATATATTTTTAAAACCTTTTTAAACTTATGTTACTAAATTTGTTATGTATAACCTGAGATAAACATATTACGTCAAATTGAAGTGGTTCTATAATATAAATGATCTATAATTTACTCTGGTTATATCAAAACCCATTAGGACAGAAATTTTGAAATAAAAAATATTGGCTTCAAGATTGGGCCCTTATGTTCTCGAGTGTTTTCCAGTAAATATAATGCTTTTATTTATAGAATGTGGTTATAGAAGATTGGTCATGAAATAAGCACATTGTTTCTGTAAATATAAAATAATTTTGGAAACTTGAAAGTTTGCCTTAACCAGATGGTCTAGAAAGACATCTTTTAAAAAAGGAAAAACTTAATAGTCCTTGAACATTTTAAGGCAGAGCTGGATATATTCTTGTTAAGCAAGGGATTCAAAGGTTATCACGGGTCAGCAGGAACATATGAGCATCACAATCAGATCAGATATGATCTTATTGAATGGAAGAGTTTGAGGTGGGCCAAATGGCTTACTCCTGCTCCTGATTTGTATGTTCACATGTACAAAGATTTCCATGCTATGTTCTTAATATTATTACCTGAAAAGTATTCTTAATGTTTAAAAATCGATCTGACGTTACATTTAATGAAATGTCAAAACGACTTACCAGGATTTGTTGTAATTATGGTTTTAGAGATCACAGTGGCAGCCATGGTGTTGCGAAAACTATCATAATTTACTCGTACATCAGCTATGAACAGTACTGTAACAATTACAAAAATAATTGATAAAAATATTAAGTCTTGTTGAAAAATTCATTTCAGAATAAAAGAAATAAACTTAACATTAACTGACAAATACAGTACCTGTTTCCCTGGGTATCCATGTCTGTGCAAGCTGTATAGATTCATTATCCCAGCTATGGAAATCATATAAATATTAGTCAGCTAGTAAAAGGGTTTCTTTCATTCAAAAAGATAAAAATTCAATTAATTTCTCATTGTTAACAGAGAATTTAATTGCTATTATGGAGGAGCTGGTCTAACGGCAGCCACTGTCATAAAAACATATCTAGTTCACTAATGTCCTTCTTTTCTAAGGAAGGAAATCTACTGTCCTTACCTGGTCTAATTTATTAGAGATTTTCAAAGCACTCTCAATCAGAATGGATAGAGGGGAAATTAGTATATGTGTTGTATTTGGGCTTCCACAAAGCGCCGACAAGGTATCTCAAAAAAGGTTAAGTCATAAAATAAGAGCATGGTGTTGGAAGTAATTTATTGGCATGGACAGAGAATTGGCAGATGGGCAGCAAACAGCAAGTGGGGATAAGGTGTTATTTTTTACACTGGATGACCTGTAACTAACAGGATTCCATAGGGATCAGTGCTGCAACCGCAACTGTTTGCAATATTATTAATTGCTTCCTTCTTCTAAGCCAATGTACTGTAGCCAGATTTCCCAAACAGCTGGCAAATGGAATATAATGTGAGAAAATACAAAGGTGTTCATTTTGGAAGGGAGAACAAAAGAACAGCATTAATTAAGTGCAGAAAAATTGCAGAAAGTTGCAATTAAAAAGGGACTTGGGAGTATTTCAGAACACTGAAAGCTAGAACATAGGTGCAGCAGGTAATTAGGAAGGCCAATGGGATGGCGGCTTTTCTTTTAAGCAGGTTGGAATATAAGAGTGGGGAAGTCTTAGTGCAACTGTACAAGGTGTTGGTGAGCTCAAACCTGCAGCACTGTGAGCAGTTTTGGTACCCTTATTTAAAGAAAGATCTTACTTCATTGGAGGCAGTTCAGAGAAGGTACATTAGATTGATTCCTTGTACAGAAGGGTTGTCTTATGAGCAAAGGTTAAACAGGTTGGGACTCTAGTCATTGGAATTTAGAAGAAAACAGGTGATCTCATTAAAACTTATAAGATTCTTACGGGGCTTGACAGGGTAAATACTGAGATGATTTTTCCCTTCATGGGACAGCCTAGGATCAAAGGGTATAATCTTACAATAATGGGGTCAATTCAAGGCTGAAATGAGGAGAAATGTCTTCTCACAAGAGTGTTCTATGTCTTTGGAACTCCTTGCCATGGAAATTTATGGGACAAGAGTCCTTGTGTGTATTTAAAGATGAGATAGATAGATTCTTGATCAGTAGGGGAATCAATGGTTATGGGGAAAACGCAGGAATGTATATGTGAGGAATGTTAGATTAGCCATGATCCTATATATTGGCAGAGCAGGCTCAACAGGCCTACTCCTGTTCCTATTTCTTATGGTCTGGTCTACATGTGACTCCAGACACACAGCAATGTGGTTTACTTTTAACTGCTCTGTGGGCATTTAGTGATGGGCAAAAAGTGCTAGCCTAGCTAGCAAATCCCACGTCTTGTGACCAAATAAGAAAAATCTTTTAAATATCAAGAGTTGAAATATCATCTGAAATTAACTCAGTAATTACTTTCAGATTCAACAAATGTATTCTGATACTTGAATTTGTACAGCAGGGAAATACAAAAAGCACTCTAAAATATTATGTTGCAATCTATTACATTGTATGAACCAATAAGTGTTGCAAAGCACTGTTGTGTAATAGAATTATAGAAGTCTGCAGTTTAGAAAAGACTCTTTGGCCCATCGAGTCTATGATGGTCAAAACAAACACCCAATCATTCTAAATAAAAACTGAAAGAACTGCAGACGCTGTAAATCAGAAACAAAAATAGAAATTGCTGGAAAAACTCAGGAGCTCTGGCAGCATTTGTGGAGAAAAATCAGAATTAACGTTTCGGGTCAAGTGACCCTTTGTCAGAACCGATGTTATAATAACAATCCACATTAACAACTATTCACCTCCTAGCCAGATTGTTATCCACTCCCTAATTTGTCCAACTGTTCTTCCCTCTCTTTGGGTTCTATCCACATCTATGGTTTACTCCTTACCCCCTCCCCCCACCTTATCTTCTGCATATAAACCAACATTTTCCTAGTTACCATAAGTTCTGAGGAAGGGTCACTTGACCCTAAAGGCTAACTCTGATTTCGCTCCACAAATGCTATCAGACACAATTATTCTTAGCTATTTTTCCAGCACTTGGCCCATAACCGTGAATGCCTTGGTATTGCAAATGTACAACTAATTTTAAGTGTTGTGAGGAATTCTGCCCCTACCACCCTTACAAGCAGGGAGTTCCAATTTCTGACCATGCTCTATGTGAAAATGTTTTCCTGTTTTTAAATATTTGGAAATGTATTTTGAAAGTTCGGATGCTTTTCATCACAGAGACACAACTAACAATTTTAATGTTTTTTAAATCCCAAATATAACGACTGCAAAAATTAAATAAACCAATAAAAGTAACAAAAGTTATAGATGGGAGATAAAAGAGGAAATGCTGGAAATCATTTGTACTGAATACCACCAAGGTCATACTAAAGCACATGCCCTGATTATTTGGCACTGTAACATGATGTATAATTTTGCTAACAGTGACATTAAGGGATGAATTCAGAGCCTAAATGTAATGCACAGACAGATACTAGAAGGCTGATCTCTGATATCAGAGGCAATAGTTATACTAGCTTGACAAACTCAAGCTTCTCAACCCTAAAAAGATGTCAAAGAGAGAATTTAGATCAGTACAGAAGATAGTTAATGAGTTATATCAATTGAGCTCCAAGTGATACTTTTCACTATGGTGGAACAGCAGCATTTAGGGCACAGGTTCAGGGTTATGAAATTTGGGACCGAGTTCAGAAAGTATTCATTTACATGGAGATTGACGAACATTTGGAAGTGGATTCACAAACAGTAATCCAGGATATCAAGATTGAGAACAAACATTACCACAAATATGGTAAAAGGCTGGAATTCTAAAAGAATGATCACAAATATGTTGGACAGCCCATCCAAATCCATCAAAGGATTTACAATGAGCAACTTCGAAAATTATTTAACGGCATTTATTGAGAGTTCAAAAATATACTAACCAGCTCATAAGGAATGAAGGCACAGTTTCATCAAACAGTTTTACTTCGCATCGCTGTCCTTTTCTTCTGTCTGCAGTAGTAAAATACTTCTGCTCCCCTACCTTAAGATAAAGTATTTTTTCTCATCTTTACACTAATTCAATAGTGAAATAATTACATTTTCAACATAAACATCAAGGGATTAAAGTCACAGCGGAGTTCTTTGAAGATTTAATGTTATTGAAATTAAAGATCTAAATCTTAAATTGATTTCTACTTCAACATATTTCCCTAGGCTTCACTTAGAACTAAGAAATCCAAAAATAAACTACAAAATACCTATGCAGCAATTTTTGAAGTACCAAGTCAATTCAAGCCTAGCTACCTAGAAGTATCAGAGTTTTGAACGATCTCAAATTCACAAAAGGTAGAACAGGTTGGCTGAACAGGACACTATAGAAATAGTCAAGTCTAGAGGTAGCAAAAGTATGATGGGTGTTACAGCAGCAGACGAGCGGAGACAAGGGCAGATTGGGACATTTGAAATATAAGCTGAAACGTGCAATATTAGTGATGGTGCAGATATACAGGAGCTTCAATTTATTCAAACATAACATCAAGATTACAGCAGATAAGTTTGACATAAGGCAGCTTAACAAAGAGAGGGATGGAGGGAACAATAACAAGGGAATTGAGTTTCTGATAAGGATGGAAGGCAGTAGCTGCTTCCTACTCAATACTTAGTTGAGGGGAAATTCTCCTAATCCACTATTGTTTATTGGGCAGGCAGTCTGACCTCGAGGAACAGTGGTCAAGAGAAGTGGAAATAGGGGAAAGCTGTGTTTTATCAATGTGCATATGGAAACTGTTGCTGAGGTTTTTGTTTAATGTTAGTGAGGTAGAACCAAGGAAATGAGAAATAGGAGGGGGCCAAGGATGAACCTTGGGAGACATCATAAGTAATGGTATGAGAGTAAAAGGAGGAAACATGTCACATAATTTTCTGGCTAGGACTAGATAGATAACAATAGAATCAGGTAAAAATAGTCCTGCACTGTTGGGTGACAGCGGCTTCTGGTTGAATGTACGCTAGTTGAAAGTAAACATAAAATTTTACAGCTTTTCTAAATCAAACACATTATTTTAAACTATTAATTTGACTTTTTATCGTTTAAGCATAATGGTACGTAATCACTACCAGTTTCAGTATACACATCAAGTAAATGTGCTTTGATGGTAAATCCCTATGAAATGCTGAAAGATGAGAATATTTAGAAGTGATAACTTCTGGCTAAAATTTAATCAACTGCTGGTTTGAGCCATAGTTTGTTAAGGATATTGAATAGGATACTGGTGGTGATGGAGGCCCTTGCAGGGGAGGGGAAGGTGAGCAAGATCAGTTGGCTGGGGTTTCAGGCAAAGTCCAAAACTTAATCCTATGGCACACAATTGAGAAATGGGAAAGTGGTAGTTAGAAATGGGGTTGAAAAGAATACTCTCATTCCTCCAGGCTGCACATTAAGGTAAGCATCTTGAGAACAGCCTTGAGTGATTCATTTAATGACCATTGCTTAGGACAAGTGTAGACCTGGTAATCCTATAAACTCAGAAAGTAACTTCAATTCTTATCATGTTCAGGGCAAATCAATTTCTGGTTTGAGTTCTAAAGCAGGCTGCTAATCACCATATTCAAGGACATTTGCTGTTCACCAACACCCAAAACTGATATGGCCAGTGGATGTGTTTCTGATGCTGTTTAATCAGTGAAAGATGGCTCCATAAATTAGGTCTATTTGTCTGGCATGTGAAAATTGAACAAATGTCACTAGGTAACATCAATAACTCGGAGACTTTCTGCAGACTCCTCACTTAACTGTGCATATACAGTTATATTGCATTTAGATTCATTAACGCCTCCATTTCCCAGAGAATGTCATCAGAAATCACCAATTAAAACACAAACAGGGAAATGTAATAAATGGAACAATGAAAATAATCTTTTTTCATATTACTAATCTAAAAAACTCATTAAGAATGCTGCCACATTCTGCTTTAACAATATGCAAAAGAATTTCAATGTTTAACATTTAGCATCAATTGATGACTGTTTTGGACACTTAAAAATATTTTTTCTTCTACCAAACGCATATATAGGATATGTGTGGTAGTCAACATGCATTGTTTCACAGAAGAAAATATCCATTACATTTTAGTTACTGAAAGCTCACCGATCTGACTGATGCCAGTATATTGATAATGCTTCCATTCAGGCTTTGGCCATTATGAACAATATCTCCAAGTGAATAATAATCCTGAGGATCTTTCACAGGCAAATGCAACAGGGAGAGAAGCCTGGATTCAAGCTCCAGATCGTGGCACAATCTCACTGTTGAAAAGTTCTCACTGACTAGAAGTTTATAGCTACTAAATATGAAACAACAAACAATATTAATACCAAAGGTTTCAACTGCAGGATGAATCAGAAATGAAAGGAGTAATTATGTACTGCATTGTCTAAACTATTCTGTTAAACACTTCTTGGAAAATAGACCCAATTTGTTCTGAAAAACATACATCATCAGTCTGTTCAGATTGCTAGCAATCTTTTCAATCCTGTTGTTGGCACAAAACTAAGTTTTAGAATAGAACAAACTTGGGTTGAGTTGTCAATAAACTAATCTCACACCAATATGCAATTCTGTAAATTCAAATGCATATAAAATAGTTGAACTGTTTAATCTCATGACATTGCTCATAGATTAAAAACAAGAGACTAATTTCTGCTCATGGATTGCATATCTCTTCTGCATAGTTCTCACATTTTTATTATCTCAATTGCTGTCTTGTATTTTACTCCCATTTTCTGTAGGTCCAGAAGTGTCTCAAACATGAGGAAAAGGTGAGAATGACTGCCCTCGAAACAAGGCAATGTTTGATCCAGTGTGATATCAAGGAGCACTAGCAAAATTGAAGTCAATGGCAATGAGGGGGAATTTGTTCCCACTAGTCAAAGTCATAACTAGCAAAACGAAAGAAAGCAGTAGTTGTTGCAGACCAATAAACTGTCCCTGAATATCACTGCAGGAGTTTCTCAAGTCACTGCCCTAGGCGCAACTATCTTCAATTTCTTCATCAATCAAACTTTTCTCTCAAAGTGAGAATGCCACTGCATTAGTAATCCAGAGGCCAAGGCTAATCGTCTGGGGACAAAAATTCAAATCCAACTATGTCAGCTGGTGGAACTAAACTAAAATACAATAACTTTAGGAAGAATGTAAGGGTGTAGATCAACTTTAAAATCAGAATGGTTATAGGGGGATTAAGGAATTCAGCTATAAGCATACCTTTGGTCTGAGGACCACTGGCCAGGGTGATGAAGTACAGGTAACGTGCACCTCTCCAGCAGATCTTGAGGGTGCTGAACTTGGCTGTCTATAGCAGTCGCCAACTTGATCACGGACGTAGTCAGAATTTGCACAACACACTGCACTGCTGCAGCTTTGGCCAATGAAAGTCATTGCATTCACCATCCTTGCTCTGCCCATTTCTGTTTCTGCATATAGATTCTTACGAAATCCCCGAATGCAGACACTGCAGGCCTGGCCAGGTGCCTGGTCAATAGAGGTCCTCTGGATGCCAATGGCCTGGTGCGTTTTTTCCTCGACCAGCTGCAGAGCTGACACAGTGAAGTGCTGTCCAGATTTTGCTTTCAAACTTCCTAAGGCTAACGTTCCCACCAAGGTGTCAGTATCTGAGCTAGTGGGGCTGCAGGAGGCAGCCTTGTCAATGCTTTAGGGAGGGGTTGAGTGAGGTGACGTTAGCTGAGTATCATAATTGTTAGGGCTGCTGCACATGATCAAAAGGTGGCAAGATGTCCCGGGCAAGTGAGGAGGCAATGCAGAGGCCATGCAACGTAAAGTCAGAGTGACAGCCCTTGACATCAAGGCTGCATTCAATGCATGTGGCATCAAGGAGCCCGAGCAAAACTGGAATCAATGGGTATCAGGGGAAAATGTCTGTTGGTCGGAGTCATACCTGACACATAGGAAGATGGTCATGGTTGTTGCAGGTCCATCATCTAACCTCCAGGACACCTCTGCAGGAGTTCCTCAGGGTAGTGTCCTAGGCCCAACTACCTTCAGCTGCTTCATCAATGACCTTCCCTCCATAATAAGGTCAGAATTGGGGATATTTGTCGACGATTGCACAATGTTCACCACCATTCGTGAATCCTCAGATACTGCAGCAGTCCATGATCAACTGCAACAAGATCTGGACAATATCTAGGCTTGGGCTGACAGGTGGCAAGCAACATTCATGCCACACAAATGCCAGGCAATGACTCACCAATTAGAGACAATCTAACTTCTGCCCCTTGACATTCAGTGGTGTTACCATCACTGAATCCCCCGCTATCAACATCCTGGGGGTTATCATTGACCAAAAACTCAACTGGACTCACCACATAAACGCAGTGTCTACAAGAGCAGGTCAGAGGCTAGGAGTACTGCAGTGAGTAACTCACCTCCTGACTCCCCCCAAGCCTGTCCAACATCTACAAGACACAAGGCAGGAGCATGATAGAACACTCCCCACTTGCCTGGATGAAAGCAACTCTAACAACATTCAAGAAGCTTGACACCATCCAGGACAAAGCAGCCTGCTAGATTGGAACTAGGTCTTCAAGCATCCACTCCCTCCACCATTGACGCTCAATAGCAGCATTGTATACCATCTACAAGATACACTGCAGAATTTCACCAAAGATCCACAGACAGCATCTTGCCAACCTACAACCATTTCCATCCAGAAAGACAAGGGCAGGAGATACATGGGAACACCACTACGTGCAAGTTCCCCTCCAAGCCACTCACCATCCTGACTTGGAAATATATCGCGGTTCCTTCACCGTCACTGGGTCAAAATCCTGGAATTCCCCTCCTAAAGGCATTGTGGGTCAACCCACAGCAGGTGGACTGCAGTGGTTCAAGAAGGCAGCTCACCACCACCTTCTCATGGGCTACTTGGGACGGGTAATATTGGCAACGCTCACATCACTCAAATGAGTGAAGAAAAAGAAGTTCAGTGGTGTGGGAGGTTGGAGGCAGTAAGAGTGAGTGAGGAAGATGTTTTAGGCAAGAGTGCGAGTAGCAGAGTGTGAGCCTTGGCAGGTGGTGGCTATTGTAGCAGAGGTAGAGCAGGTGTAAGGTAACAGAGAAGTATGACACTTACTCAGCCGAATGGAAAGGGTCACTGATCTTCTTGCGGCACTGCTGGCCATTCCTCTTCATCATCCCAATGGTACGGTCCAGGTGGTGTTTTCAGATCATGTTGCGAGCGATGGTGCAGCCTCTTTTCTCAGTCCTCTTGAAAAGGACCCCTCTCCTTTGCACCACATCCACCATCTGGACTTCCTGGTCCCTGTTGAAGAATCATGACATTATGATCCCCTTCTTTAGCACGCTCAGACTTCATCCTTGACCGTGCAAGGCTGTTCTACAATGCCAGTGCTTATCTGGGTGCACAGTGGCCTTTTAAATATGGCACAAGCATCAGGAATGCTGACAAAACCTGCCCCATGTGTCACATTAGTGTAGAATCCAGAGTGCAGGATTTTCTTCTTTTATTCACATTGTTATCCATGTCTCTGCTTCATCATTAAGCTGTAGGGACTCAAAGCATACTGCAGCTTGATGGTGTAATTATCACCGTTCTGAACATTGATAGCAAGATCCTCCCAACCATTAAATGTCAAGGCTACCAAGTTCGGTGGGTCTTTATTGCATTTTCTTTGTCCTCACCTGGAATGTTTGGCCACTTGAAGACAACAAGACCTAGTTAGGGGTAATGCTCTTGACCATCCAGATACAGTGCTCAAAGATATGTAGGTAGAAAATTGGCCTGTTCAGTCAGATGTGAACTCATTAAAAACTCACAACCCTGAGTAGATGTCATTCTTGCGACTGCTGATGATCAACGACTAGTAGCCCAAGCTTGGATGTTATTTAAGCGTTACCATAAATTGGCATGGCCTCCTTCACTATTGAATGACTTTTGGTTGTATGTTGTCAGCAAACCAAATCTTATGATGGAAGGAAGGTCAACGATAAAACAGGTGCAGATGGCTCGGTTAAGGACACTAACATGAGGAAGTGTTGCAGTAATGGTGGACCTCTGATGAACAATGACCATCTTCTTGTTTATGATATATGAATCTATCTATTTCAGATCTCAATTTGCCATGTATTCCTTGATACTATACCTAGGCAAATGCTGTCTTGGTGCTGAAGACGGTTACTTTCACCCTTCATAAGAAAACAGGGATGTGAGTAGGTCATTTAGCTCCTTAAGTTTGCTCTATCATTCAATGAGATCATAGATGATCTGCCACCTTTCTGCCTCTCTCTCAATATCTTTGGTTAACAGTAATTCAATAATTGTAAATTTAAAGTTAACAATTGTAAATTTGGGATACAAGTTACATCCTTCCCATCAGTGCACCATCACCCCTACTCTCTGTCTCCTGCTACTCAGACAAAATAAGAGCCCATGGTGCTGGGGGTTGTACATTAGCGTAGATAGAGCATTAGCTATGTAATAGAAGGTGGAAATGGGATAAAAGGAGCATCTTCAGGATGGGGACCTGTGGGGAGGATGCAGAGATGCTTCAGTGATTTAGATGAGTGGCAAATGCGTGGCAGATGAAGTAAGATGTGCCTAAATACGAGGCTATCCACTTAGGTAGCAAAAAGAAGAAGGTAAGTTATTATCTGAAAGGCAAAGATTAGGAAAGGGGGAGTGCAATGAAACTTGGGTGTCCTTATATGCCAGTCACTGAAAGTAAACATGCAGGTGTGCAGGTGGTGAAGAAGGCAATGGCATGCTGGTATTCATTTCAACAAGATTGGAGTACAGGAACGGGGATGTCTTGCTGCAATTGTACAGTGTCTTGGTAAGATCATACCTGGAGTACTGTGTGGAGTTTTAGTTTCTTTATCTGAAGAAGGATGTTCTAGCTATGGAAGGAGTGCAATGAAAGTTCACCAGACTGATTCCTGGAATGGCAGGTAGGATGTTTGAAGACAGACTGTATCAGTGAGGACTATATTCATGGGATTTTAGAAGAATGAGGAAGGATCTCATAGAAACCTATGAAATTGTAACACGACTAGCCAGGGTAAATGCAGGAAGTTAAGTTTCTGATGACTGGAACTGTCCAGACACAGGGCTCACAGTTTAAGGATACAGGGTAAACCCTTTAGGATTGAGATGAAGAGAAATTTCTTCACCCAGAGGGTCGTGAGTCTGTGATATTCTCTGCCATTAAAAATGGTTGAGGCTCAAACATGGGATATTTTCAAGGAGTACAATATAGCTCTTAGGGCTAAAAGGGTCAAAGGGTATGGATGAAGTGTGGGAACCAA